CTCCTTCTCCTCCGCTGAATTTTTATTCCTCTTTCTCCTCCTCATCTTCTTACCCGATTGTCAGGGTGTTGAGAAGATAGATAAAATTAAGTTGATTTATTATTTCAAATATCTCTTCTTCAGAATATTCCAGAGGAGGAGAAGGAGAAGAATCCTTTAGATCTTCTAAGACATTCTCCTCTTCTCCTTCAAATGATATCTCCTCCTCCTCAGGATATTCCAGAGAAGGAGAAGGAGAAGGATCCTCTAGATCCTCTAAGGCGTTCTCTTCTTCTATCTTTTTCTCCTCCTTCTTCTTTCCTTCCTCCTCCTCCTTCTCCTCTAACCTGATTGTCAAGGCGTTTTCTTTTCTCTTTTCTTCCACTTTCTCTACTTTTTCTTTCACTTCCTCTTTCTCAATTACATCATCGAGATTGTCGCTGAGACGGGTGAGTTCAATTGTGTTTACACGCACTCGTGTAAGGTCATCCACCTCATCGGCAATCTCAATGATGCGATGGTATAAATGTAATTGATTGACATGTAATTGAGTGATATCGATAATAACGGTATGAACTGAGGAGGAGGAGGAAGAGGCAGTCTTCTCAACTTTATTGTTTTTTTTTTCATCACCCATATTTTAATTTCTTCTTTGTGTGAATGGCCCTGCTTCTAACACAGAGTCGATACAGCTAAAATCGAAAATGTCGCTTATACGATGAATAACAAAAAACAATGTATGGAATTCGAAAAAAGAGTAACATAAACTCAATTGCGCGTTTGACACTAATCAATCAATCTTTCCAAAAAAAAAACGATAATGTAATAACAGCCGACTGCGCGCGGACAAAGCAGAGCAAAGACTGACGCTGAGAATCAATCTTCGCCGCAGTGAGCCTGTCTAGAATCTTTAAGCGACAGTTGTATATAAAACAATTCAGATCATAAGTACTGTCAACCAGAAAAATATTGTTTATATCGTTGCAGCACTATTTATAAGAGTAGCTTAATATATATCAGTAGCCGCGATTATTTGCACCGTCGAATTGCTGAAAGTTCACGCTGCATTATTTTCACCTATAAGTTAATAATAATTTTCCTTTTTTTTCTTACGTGGAAAGATACATACATTCATACATATACATTCATACATATATATATA